CTGTGTATTACAGTGGTAGTGGTTCACGGCTGATCTGTCCGGTGCCGAGTTCATTAGACTGTGTTTGCTCTGTGTATTACAGTGGTAGTGGTTCACGGCTGATCTGTCCGGTGCCGAGTTCATTAGACTGTGTTTGCTCTGTGTATTACAGTGGTAGTGGTTCACTGCTGATCTCTATGGTGCCGAGTTCATTAGACTGTGTTAGCCCTGTGTATTACATTGGTAGTTGTTCATGACCGATCTGTCAGGTGCCGAGTTCATTAGACTGTGTTAGCCCTGTGTATTACAGTTGTTGTTATTCGCAGTAGATTCATTGCATACCATTTCGTCTCAATTATTTAAGAAACACTTGCAAAGATACGTCGTATTCTTAACAAAATACATTATAAATCGGATGAATTTTCGAGTTCGAATATTTTTTTTTTGTATTCAACAAACTTTCCTTATATCGATATTTTAAAGAGATATTACTCTCTAAAAATGTATTGGATCACAGTCTGATTATTCCTCCTCTATATAATTGTCGATTGAAACTCCGCGTTGGTCCTATACAGTGTAAACTCTCCAGGTCACGGTCACCGCGGACACTGGCGATGTCACGATGTTCATTTAAAGGGACGTTATTCCGAGGATAATAAGCATTCATTAACCTGATACACTTTGTGGACAAAAGCTGTACAAGTAAGCAGATTTTCTTTCGAAATTTTTCCTATTTCTAAAACAGAAACATTGCGCATCTGTCTTCTGCACATGCTCTGAACTTTCCATTTCACACTTTCAATCTACATATTCCTAAATAGGTGGTATTAAAAGGCAGGTCTGATTGTAGATGTAGGGAGATGGTCGTTATAGACAGGTGGTCGTAACAATAGGTTTTACTGCTGCATGCCAGAGCACTAATAGGTATTAAGAGTTCAACTTACCTTCCATTCATTAGGAATTAGGCCAATCTTTATTTCGCATGACCCACTTTCTCTGTGATACCTTACCCGTACATCCTGTATGCAGAAGTCTTGAATACACCTGACACAATTGACGAGAAATCTTATATGGGAACGCGACCGATAGCCACGTTCTATCCGCGGGCACAGGCTTGGCGAAGATGTTATTTCCCTAACCACAGTATCAATATAAAGCGTGTCGTCAGCCGATTTCACATGAATGACCGACACACAATTGCATTGAATTTGATATATTTTCTTGTGTTTGTCTTGTTGTGTTGACTTGGATGTTTTGTTAGCGACAGCTCAGTGTTGGTATCTGAATTGTCTTCATACGATTGGGAATGGTGGAGCGTTCGCAACGCTTAGGCTACTTTTGCGATTTCTTAGCCGAGCCGTGCTGAAGTATCTGTTATTATATTTCATTATAAAGAAAATTTAAAGGCTTTGATAAGTTTATATGACTTGTTCCTAATCCTCTCTACAGTGATTTTTGGACAATAAATATATTGAAACTCAACTCTTTGTTACGAGTCTGAAACCTCGTCCATTATCGAATCCATACCGAATACGTGAATCTTTGTAACATTTTGTCTCGGGGGTTGTGTTTCAGGTAGTCATTGCTCACGTGATGCAAACTCGTGTTTTACCTTGTAAAATGATCTGGAATATTAGAAATAGTTCGCACCAAAAGCATCGGATACATTTCATTTCGTTGTTGATATCATTTTTTTTATTACCAAGACAATGTTCTAAAATTCTGAGCGCACGTACCCGGGCCGTGGTATGCAGTGTGGCCTTGGATATACATTGTAGCTACAGTAGAGGTTTAATACACTACTTACGTGATCGTAGTAATACCTAGCACTAGCTTAGATCAAAGCTTTGTTTGTGTACTGGTACACACTCCAGCAAAGATGATGTGGTGTTACAAAACAATGCTATAAAAAATGTAAACAGAGAATGCTTCGGTGTTAATCTTCTGCAATGAGCTTCCATCGTCTGTCCTGAATCCGCCCGTCTATCGGAGACATTCTGTCCGGAAAACAACCTGAAAAACAGGGTGATATATTAAACAAACTTGCCACACGTATTAAACTAAATACATAAATATGTCTGTCTTATATTCAGTATCAGTTAATTGAATAAAACATTGCAATGCTATGGAAATAATTACACCATTAAATATTTTTGTTTGTTTGTTTCCATAACGAATTGTTATGAAGATAACAACCGAATTTGTAACGCACAATCACACGTATTCTAACTAAAAATACATTTTAATTAAAGTTCTGATGATGATATGTATTTGTGCAAAATCAAAATGTATGATGTTTGTTCTTTTTTGGTTTATGACTTTGAAATAATTTCATTTTTTAGAATCAGAATTCGAAAAGAATAAAGATCACCATGGACCGGTCTAATGAGTATAATTTACGCATGTCCCGGAGATCACGTGATCGACGGCGAAACCACGAACCCAACATGTCGGTTAAGTCCGGTACATACCAAATCCACTTATCTATACCGAAGTCGATGCTTCCAGGAAATATTTCTATCAAGGCGGCCAACAGCCGAGCACGTCCTTTGTCTCCATTCGAACGACGACCCTTGTCGCCGCGTGCACAGCAAGCGAAGTCGCCTGTAGAGCATGCGTACAAGCCAACATCACCATTTGAGAACCATTCAGCATCTCTGTCACAACCGGCACCACCTACACGACCTTCAATGTTCTCCGTGTCTCTTCCAATGGAAAATATTACGCCTAGGTCAGCTCAAAATGGACATGCTTTGACTGTCATACCTGATCCAAGTGAGCTGCCTCCAAGTCCGAGACAAATTCCGAATGGACACGTCGTGACCCCTAGGTCAAACATAAATGGACATACGATATCGTCTAAAGTACCACCGCCATTGGACCTGTCATCATTAGCCAATCAAAGGTCACCAAACGGTGTGAAAAAGCATTATGATCCAAGGTCGCCAACAGTTTCTCAAAATTTCTACAGGGTAGGTTCAAGGTCAGCTAAGGACACTGTGAATAGGAGTAAATCGTTCACAGCGAAACATTACATACAGAAGTCTGAAAGGAAAAGTAGCAACACTTTACCACGCTCAACGTCACCATTCAATTTCACCTCCACCAACGGAACCTTCCCAAGGTCAATGTCGCCTACTGCGTCCACGCCAAGGTCGCCTGTCAACGAATCACCAAGGCCAAAATCTCACGTTGCCATGGTAACACCTAGTGTGTTTGACGATTCCATGACAGCCAGATCAGTCCTGGAAACATCCGTGACCAGTCAAAGCAGTTTCCGGGCCAACATGTATGAGACATACAGAGACCTCTGCCGACAGAAGTGAGTATTGACATGCGCATTCTTGGAGAAGGAATAATCTAACGGAAACACTTTAATAAACTGTTGAGCTTTTATTGAAATGTATTTGAATCATTACCTTAAAATTTATTAATTCTAAAGAACATTGCAATGTTTCCTATGCATGGACTCTTTTGGACTGGAATGGATGTTACAGTAAGGTAGCATAATTCTAAATTGACATTTCCTTGTTTTTATGGTTAATGTTACTTTTACTTTCACTTTAAGTGACATGATGTTCAAGGATCCAGATTTTCCAGCCATGGACGAGTCGCTTTTCCGACAAGGAAAGTCACCGGTTGGTCAGATACAGTGGAAACGTCCCGGGGTACGTAATGGTCAAAACAGTAGTCGACAGGGACAGGCAAATACAGATCAGTTTTGGGATAGCCTGACGGGTCAGACAGGATGGTCAGCGTGAGGGAGTGAGAGGAAAACACGAGGTGTTAGGCAGTGAAATGTTTGGTATTGGAGGGGGAGCTATACTCAGAAACATTCTAACAGATCTTGTCGTAGTCTTATCTAAGGTTGTAACCACTTGATTATTATGTTTACATTTATATTCTGACCTGAAGTTAGTAGACCTTCCTTTTAATAATGTTTAACGTCTTCAGCTCCTTTTCTAAAACTGCCATCCTTTCGTGACTAAGCTTTCTTTATAATAATAGTATTACTTTTCACATCAATTAAAACCTTAATCATTTTCAAAGTCCACTTGTTTCCTCTTCTAACTTGTTTTATTGTTTTTCGTTCTAAAATCTGTTAGGTTTAGTTCTCAGAAAGAAATCTATAACATCATGTCTGCACTACATGCTTATCTTATAGTAACGATAAAACAATCAGTTCTTTAATAATGGTATATGTTGTTTATAACCATGGTTCCATATACTACTATTGCAGAAAATAAAGCATTCCTATACATATTCGTATTGCTTGCCATCACAAGAAAATATAACCAAATTATTTACTTACAGCACTTGTGCAAGAAACCGAGATTTCTTTCCAATGACATCACGAGCTGTAAAATTCAGTCTGGACAACTAGGTAAGAACCGGTCAAATCTATAATGTATGTACAATTTATGCTAATTAGTGGTTCACCAATGAAAGAAGGTTGATTGGTATTTCTGCTTATGTCTACATCGGAAAAGTTAATATAGATGTTTTCTTACTTCTAATAGTTGTAACTACAGAATGAAACACGAAAACAATATAATTAACATGTCTGTTAAAAAGTCGACAGAGTTTCGAATACCGCGAGACAGCAATGAGAAGGTAACTCTATCATAACTTCCATCATATTAAGAATACACGATTTTAGATTTACAACCAAGTTATCATAAAATTCAATTCCAGGATCTAACTGGCTTATCGGATGTTTCACCTGTTTGACCAGTGCGCCCTCCCTAATGAAACATTGCATACCGGTAGGACAAGAGTTTGACGACAAATATGTTGGTATCTTCCGCTTCCGGTTTTGGAGATTTGGACAATGGACAGAAATTGTCATTGACGATCGGCTGCCTACATTAAATGGTAATTATAATGCATGAATTATGTAGCAATGGATTTCATTGATCATTTCACGAAAATAAAACAACGAAACAAGCGACAGTATACTGTTTTAAATTGAACTTCCGATATACAAGTGCATAGCCTTTTTAGCGATAACTATTTCGTAATTTTCAACGTAGAGACTGGACACATATTGCACGGGTTCGAAGACCTATTTCATTGAACAGGTGGACGGCTGGAGTCGGTTCTAAGATGAATTCATGAGCATGCTTAGACATTGAGTAGTTGTAATATTCAGAATGCATAGTTGACTTTGGTTCAGATGTTGACTAGAATTAATATATAAATGTATGGAATCCTTAAAAGCGTTTGAACCTGTGATACAAAATATGTCAATGAACATATGAGCTATTTCAAGCATTCATCGGAAAAGAAAAACTATGAATCGGTTTTTGTTTTTACTTCGCTAATTACATTTACGCTTATTGTTTTATACATATTATATAAATGGAATTAATCCACCAAATGGACTGAACTCGGCAATAACGTTTAACAGTGTGCCAATAGACACAGAAACACGTTATCAGACATTGACACAACAAGGAATAATAAGTAGCAAGTAAACGGGTATCTAACGTCTGAAACGATTGCCTGACTACGGATAATCTGTTTGATTTCAGGCGAGTTGCTCTACTCTCGCAGCAGTGACCCAACAGAGTTTTGGCCAGCTTTATTTGAAAAGGCATACGCAAAGTAAGTTGTCATCAGAACACCTGCATCAGTAGCTTTATTTCAACTTAACTGTAATGTATTGATGAAGTACGTGTGGATTTTGTTGGTACTGAAACGTAGATATTTCTTGACAAATTTTGGTTCTTGATTTCAATAAAATAAAGTGGAGTTTCTTTATTAGGTTCAGTGACGTGTATTTTGTATGACCAGTGACATCATTAATGTTATTTTGAGAAAATTAGAAATATTTGTAGTGGATACATTCACTCGCAAAAACATTCTATGCGTGTGTCCATGTTCATTAAGCTGTGTTGTATTATATACAAAGGTGAAAAAAGGGCGGGTGGATTGTTAAAGGGTCCCTGAAACACTTGAGTTGTGATGAGAACGAAACCAAAAAGTCTCTAAGTCAAGATTTTACTGGAATATGTTGCATATTTTTAAGTTTTGCTTGATTTTATCAGTGAAAAATATGTAGACTATATAAAAGAAAAATGAATTAAAACAATTAATTTTATTTTGGTTTTAGTATTGTTTAATTTTACTGAAGAGGTCTAATAAAATGTTAAGGTTAAATGTAATGTATAAAAAGGTTAATTGCTTTTTCATTGGGGTGTGTGCTATCTGTTGGACTGTTGATTTGTTTTTGTTTTTGTTTGTTTGCATTATATTGTACGATTATTTATTTTATCTTGTTGACATTAACATTATAAGCTATGCACCTGACATACAAATTGTTTGTTATTATTTCCAAGACTCCAAGGCTGCTATGAGGTTTTCCAAGGTGGAGTATTGGGCTGGTCCCTACAGGACATCACTGGGGGAATCACCATGACAACGAATATACAGGACAATCCGAAATTCGTCCAGAAAGTTGTAGATATAGGACTATCAAGAGCCTCACTGATCGGGGCGTCAATACAGGTACGATTAAGCCATACATATAGAGTGACGTCACAAGTTACAAGGTACAATGACGTCATAAACAAACAGTGACGCCAAAGTGTGATTTTTGTAGTGATATTTAGTCCATAGTATTTAGATTCGTTTGCTTTACTTGCCAAAATACAAAAAAGTACTATCTGACGATAGACTACGTTATTTGTTAACAATATTCTACTCTAATTGAAATCTATTTCCGCTTCCACTCCAGCAGAAATGCTTTGCTTTACCCCCTCATATCTGACATCATTGATACATGTTTCACTTACTGTCTACAGATTACGACCAATGTTAAGGCACAGACGAGCCCGGCGGGGCTAGTCACTGGTCACGTGTACAACGTCACTGGTTATGCGGAGGTAAGAAATCACGTGATTAAGCATTAACATCTAAGCTTCTTTTTTTACATTGCATACTTACTATACGAACTAACCATAGTAAAGTTGTGTTTATGGCATTATATTTATGATTGAAATGCAATGCCACTATTTAACGATACCATATCCAGATGGCATTCATATCAGCTATGAATACCTTGACCCAAACGTTATAGTCACCATACTATATGACGTCATAATGGTAACGTTGGATACTACTGATCCCTTCTTGAGATGGCTGTTCTCTTCATTTTGCCAGTATACACGGTTTATATACAGACAACTTTAACAATGTAATTTCTATGAAATTGAAAAAATCCAGAAATGGTATTTATATTCATTGAGCCGATTTTAGAAAAGAAAATTTGAACTTGACATAAGCCTATTCAACATGAAGCACTAAGGCAGTTATCAATTAGTCATTGCCTAGTTATCGTTCATATTGCATATGAATGTCTCAACTCAAGTGTCGTCACGTGAATTTGTTGTTGCACTATTTGGTTCTATTTTGTTTAAATTGTCATGTCAGTTTCAAAGCAAGTAGGCTACATTTTACCATGAACGATATTGCGATTAATACCAATGACAAAAACCATTTATCTTCATAACATAAGCATTTCATGATTATGAACCAACTAAATTGAAGTTGCATTCAGGAATCCGATAATCTAAAAACAAATGTTATATTCAACAACTGACAGTCCACTTGTTCTTTGCAGCTTCCAAAGAAATCAGAAACCGAGGTGCTCGTGCGTCTAAGGGACTGCTCAGGGAAGTCCAACTGGCGAGGAGCTTGGAGCGAGGGGTAACGCTTCTTCTTACGTCACCCATCGCAATAGTCTACTTATTATCATACCCAGAAATAACACATTTTTTTTTTTATTGGAAACATGTTAATTTTTACGTTTTAATTTCAGATCAAAAGACTGGAGTGAACTCAGTGATGATGTCAGGGCTCAGGTCCGGAACAGGAAGATGGAGAACGGAGAATTTTGGTATGGATCGACACAGCATATTACATCCTCTTGAAGCTGACTTAATGTGTTTTTAGTGTAGAATTAATGATTATGTTTTCTGATTTTGACTTCAGGTTTGTTCTGAAAATGTTTCATGTGTACTGTTCATGTTCAATATATAAACCCACCAAATGAAAGCGTCAGTTAAACTGCTGTTACCAGACCCAATCAACTGTCACTTGGTTTTTGTTATGAAATAGTATTATAATAGTCAATGTGACGATTGTCATTCGACTTCAAATAACAAAGCGTTTAGCATTCAATCAATCGCTTAAATGACTGATGTCTGTATAGATTCATTGAAGGCACACAAACACAGTAACGTTAATATTACATGTTTAAAGCCAAGACTGATGGTCATTTTCAATGTAAAATGTATACATTTCGATGTCTTTGGAATGGATCTTTAAAATGAACCCGCAGTTACTAATTTGTGAACCGCTTTGAGACGACCTACGAACTAGGTTGTGATAGAACCTCGAATTATTATTATTATTAATATCTGACGTGATCTACGTAGACATCAATAATCAGCTGACGATATTTCATAGAATATGGTCAACAGTCACGATAGATAATAACAATTAAGAATAACAGATGAATATGAGTTTCAATATCTCATCATCATCATTTTATAAACAGGAAATTTTGAACACAGGAAGTGCCACGGAATTTGAAACATTTTAAACACGTTCTGTAGGAAATGTTAAACCAGACTACCAAAGTGCATTATATATTCTATGCTGATTCAATTGTTTTTCAATAAGTCTTGTTACGTTCTGAAATTGACTATATCTGTGCTGTTATTAGCAATGTTGATCATGTGATGTCAACACGTTTTAAAAATCCGAAAGCTATATACAGACCGAGAAAGTTGTCAAGTACCTCGACTTTCAACATGGCATACTTCAGTGAGTTTCAGTATGTAACCTTGGCTTTAATTAAATCACACGATAGTTTGACTTTAGCTCACATCCAATCTGTTATTCAGGATGTCATTTGAAGATTTTAACCGGACATTCACCTTGCTGGAATCTTGTTTTCTTACACCGGAATCATGGAAACTGGAGCCTAAGATCCAGTACCGAAAATCGTGGCGGTCCACACAAGCACCAAGGCAGTGGCGCTTTGGATTTAATGCGGGGGGTCCACACGATTCTCGTAAGTACATATTGCTAAAGCATGTACAAAACAGTTTCTATTTTAAACCAACTGATAGCCTACCCATCATAAAAGTATAATGGTCTATTTTTTGTAGATAGTTTCAGGAAGGCGGGTGTTTCTCAATATTTTCGAACCTACATAAGTTCGCGGTCTGTGGAAATTGCGAGTCTGAGAGTTTTTGGAATGTCATGCCACTCAAGTAGATAAAGATGTTAAAGTTTGTGCATTCATCTTAATCCGAAAACTATGAAAATAGGCCTGTACCTAGTATGGATGCCCTGTATCATACGTCTATTTGACATATTAGTTTATATGCTACATGAACTTTCGCGCTTAGTGCTTTTTATCTTGATATATATGTATATGCTATCAATGTGATACATGTTTTGTTTATATTATATCCCTTTGTTGTTATCGTTGTAAGAATAGCTCTAGTGAGCTAATTTTGCTTTGTTTTAAATCACGACTATAAATATCAATTCTTGTATTTTGTACTTTTCAGCCATGGCGTTCAGTAACTGTCAGTTCTTCATGGAACTTAAGAAGCCATCATGTGTCGTCCTGTCCATTCTACAGAAATACAGGAGTACCGTCAACCGCGTTCTTTCTATCGGCTGTCTTGTTTATAGTGTAAGTACCGATATCTCTAATAATGATAAGAATACCGTCAGCCTAGTATATTTCCTGTTGATATCTTGTCTGATTGCCGGACTTCCACACATGTACCTCGAAACAAAGATGTTATATATTGGGATATTTAGTCGTAGGTGCCTTGAGATCTCGGTGAATGAAATTTGGGGAAAATCGTTTATCACAACAATAAAGATAGGACTTAAATGTGCGATTTAACGCTTCAAGTTATCTGTATTTTATTTTAGGTACCAAATGCATTGGAAACCAGGCTAGGATACTCTGAATTTAATCAGCTCAAACTGTTGTTTTCGACGGGACTTCGTCAAAACCGTGAAAACGCAGGATTCTACATACTTCCAGCAGGACATTACCTAGTACTTCCGGTGACAGCCAACCCGGAAATGGAGGGGAAGTTCATGCTAAGAATATTCACAGAAGGAGATTCATCTGTCAGGTAGGCAATGCTTATCAGACATTCGGCAAATCATGTTTAGGCACGGAAGTCTAGTGGTACATGTAGGACGCCGTGCACTAGGCGGAAGGTTTGCGGGTTCGAGTCACGGCACGGCAATGTGAGCAAGATGCTTTTCTCCACTTGTTCCAATCTATTCGGCTGTAAATGAGTACGTGTTTGGGCAGTGCTAGAACTATAGAATGCTAGCTGTGAGCGCCGAAATAGCAGCACCGGCTGCTCCCCAAAGAGTTGAGAAAGATATTGGTCTGTTGCAAAGGCCCTATAACCACGGATAATAATTTGTGAACCGCTTTGATACGACTGACGAATTCGGTTGTGATAAAGCAGTATATAAAAACCTCCAATTATTATTATTATGTAGAATCGTCATTACCAAAGGCTACTTTAAATTGTGCTGGCGATGTGGGATGTATACCACTGGTATTCAGTAGATTTCTGCACTTATTGGTATTTGTTATCTTAAACAAAATGAATAAATCTGTGAAAGGTTGATGAATTAAATAATTAATTCGTTTTGTTGAAGTTGTATCCAACACCAACTTTATCCAGCATCCGATATTAAAGGGAAAAGAAAGATTTCGTCTTTAAAAGAAAGCATCGCATCATGGTATATCATGGTATATCATGGTATATCATGCTCTGTTACAGTTGAAAGCACTGTCTGCCATTTGTTTGATAGTTAATGATGATAATAAAACTTCATATTCCGTACTTGCAAAACGTTTCAGGCTCTTGTTGAAAGGTAAACATTAACAGGGAATTGAACTGATATAGTTAACTTTGTGTAGATTTAATGACCGGTGTTTATGTTGCAGAGAGTTGGACGAACAGGACAAAGCCATTCCATATCAGGTACATTCTATATCATAGTACAATGTTTAAATGGTCAGTGTTCCTCTGAATTTACCTAGTTACCTTGATCAGAAATACACGACTTTCAATGTGTACTATTAAATCTGCGAGAAAAATATTTCATTGTAACTATTTTCAGAAAGACAGGAATAATGGGTCAATGATACAAAATATTGAATGGGACAGTTGTCAAAGTAAAACATTTACTGGGAGATATTTGAGAAGGGCAACATACATATTTAATGGTAAAACATGTCCTATAAACCGCCGCAAAGGTTGTGTGTTTGTATATTGTATATCGGAGTTGTAATTTTCCATTTCAATATGTTATTGTCATCACGGGTTGCTTTCAAATAGGTTTTATCCAACTTTACAATACATTGCTGTTGTAAATATTCATGCTTACATGTAATTTGTCAGTCATAAAGGTACATTACCAATTTCATAAAACATGATTAGATCCCGCGGATAGGGTCGCGTAGGTAGAGCAACTATCGTCAAGCGACGATTCTAAGATTCAGGCCAGTTAACCTTAAAATACTTAAAACATTCAGAATGACAGTTTCATAGGAATACAAATCGGGGTTATTTTGTACGGCTTCTCGGAAAACAAAATGAAAAAGTTACGTTGGACTAATTCTCCCTTAGATATGTTTATTCACAAACATGACCTTTCAGTGAAGACGCACGTTCTTTGTTACGTAACCATGTTTTGTATTAAATTGACGCTTACATGCATACTCTCCGGTTCGAGTGGGTTCACCTCACTTATTTGATTTTTTGCAGTATGACCGGAAGCTAGACACAACCAGTTTATATGCCTTCCGCCGGAAGTTCCTCTACGCCATCAACCAGGTAGGTGAACCACGCGAATGATAGCTACCAGTAACACATTCACCGAGTTACACTTAAAGTTCGAAACAAATCTTTTGAACTTAATTGATTTTTAACGCAATTTCTTTTTTCTTGACTAGGACGATGAGCTCGATGCCAAAGGTCTACAGAGTATCCTGGAACACAAGCAGAGCGAGCTACGTAACCTTTGGTGCTGTAGTCCTGGGAACGAGGATGGTAGGTTCTTGAATGTACACACAGCGAAGAAGAATTGTATTTCGGAAGAAATGTATACTTTGTGATGCGTTTTTATGCCAAATCTACTGAAACAAATTATCTGAAAAAGTGCTATCCTCAACTGTATAAAGTTTGAAGCTATTAACATTTTTTTCTGGAAGGCTTTTTGTTATTTATTTGTACATATATCACACACATATTTCAAAATAACTATATACAGAGAACTATCAATGCAATACTACACTCTTCAGTTTCAATATTGTTTACTTGCAGGTTTTAAGTTTAAGCCACTACGACTGTCTGTCGACACGTGTAAATCCGCCGTGGCCATCACTGATGTATCCTTGACCCTAACACCCATAAAACCTGTATATTTCCGAACGTTTGATTTTGTTTTAACAGAAATATTGTTGGTGTAAGTCATATAAGTCTCTGTAGTTTGGTACATTCTGAACACCTCAAGTTTTATTGATTTATACTAGGGATTTCTATGTTCAATGGTTTACATTCTGAAGTCCTCGCGGTATATTTTGCATTCATGAGACATCTTGGTGTACCGTACCTTCTTGAGACATCTTGGTGTACTGTACATTCTGGAGACATATTGGTGAACTGTACATTCTGGAGACATCTTGGTGTACTGTACGTACATTCTGGAGACATCTTGGTGTACTGTACATTCTTGAGACATCTTTTTGTACTGTACCTTCTTGAGACATCTTGGTGTACTGTTTGTTCAAGAGACATCTTGGTGTACTGTACATTCTAGAGACATCTTGGTTTACTGTACATTCTGGCGACATCTTGGTTTACTTTACATTCTGGCGACATCTTGGTTTACTGTATATTCTGGCGACATCTTGGTTTATTATACATTCTGGAGACTTCGTGGTTTACCGTTCATTCTGGAGACATCTTGGTGTACTGTACATTCTGGTGACATCTTTGTGTACCGTACCTTCTTGAGACATCTTGGTGTACTGTACATTCTGGAGACATCTTTGTTTACTGTACCTTCTTGAGACATCTTGGTGTACTGTACGTTCTGGAGACATATTGGTGAACTGTACATTCTGGAGACATATTGGTGAACTGTACATTCTGGAGACATCTTGGTTTACTGAACCTTCTTGAGACAACTTGGTGTACTGTACGTTCAAGAGACATCTTAGTGTACTGTACATTCTGGCGACATCTTGGTTTACTTTACATTTTGGCGGCATCTTGGTTTACTGTACGTTCTGGCGACATCTTGGTTTACTGTACATTCTGGAAACATCTTTGTACTGTACCTTCTTGAGACATCTTTGTGTACTGTTCCTTCTTGAGACATCTTTTTGTATTGTACCTTCTTGAGACCTTTGGACGAATTGTGAATTCTAGAGATGTCTCGATGGTTTCACAATTTCCAATACCTTTGGTTTCATAGCATATTCTGGATGCCTCTAAGTGTATTTGCCATTCTAGAAACATCTGGATTTATTCTACATTCTGTATTTGAGACTCCTGAATATGTTGTTTATTGCTTAAAATGGGCGATTTTTCAGAATCTCTGATACTAGACTACGGAAAAACGAATTATAGTTAACGATAGCTATTAAAAGTGTTTGTTTATCCAGACTGGAGAATTTCAATGACGATGTTATTTGGGAATCGTTACAAGTTATATTGCATATTCCTGACACATATAAACTCGATATTTCTACCTAGCTCACACAAAGTACAGAACATTAATTCAGTCATTAAATGTAATTGAACTTGGGGACAAACAGTATCAACGGCCTCATTATATATTTCTGTTATCAAGTTCTTCATGAATATTTATAAGTTTGACCAGGTATAAACGAATCGTTTACCTTGACTAGACAAGCGGGATTTAAATGGCCGCCTTAACTACGACGAGTTTACCCACCTACTCCATCTTCTCATGCATTGGCAGGCGAGTATCTACTCCAGTTATCTCCCTTGTTACGTGCTCCACAATATATTGCCACAATCAGTGTGTCGTCGGTTGTATGTGTCAATTATATGCGCTAAATTATTTTGATGTTCATCGTGTTGCAAAAAGATATCCACAAAGGTTTCATTATCATTCGGAATCAGTAATTTCGACTTTCTTTATAAGTATTTTAACACGACCTCATTGCTTAATACAATCTGATTAAAATCATCTATTACATGGCTCCGCCTGAACATGTTCAGGTGTAGTACGAAGTTAACGAAGCCATGTAACATATGATTTTAATCAGATTGTGCTTAATCAAAACACTGATCAAATGGCGTTTAATGGGAGATAACTTCAACAAAAAACACAGTTATGTGTAAATTAACTCGTAGCCTTGTATATCATTATGAAACCGCCTTGTAGGCGTTTGTGACTTCAGTGGTATAATGCACTGATTTACAATACTCCCCTTTTTATGATGCACGTTGCTTTTTTAACGATGTTATTTCTAAAATATCGCAGTTGATAAATGACGTGTAGGTGATATCCCTTAAAATCACGACCTAAATGCGCTACTGTGTAACTCATTTACAAACTGATAATATGACTCTTTCATGCCCAGGGGTGTAGGACATGGAAATCCCGTTCAAGGGGTTTTCAAATTGTTTAAAACTAGAGGGTTGTGATTGGTCACCATTATGAAATTAAGAGGGTGGTAAAGAGGCGATATAATAACATTTACAAAAACAAAAATAATATATCGAATATGCTTAGAGGTATTGATGAAGAAGTCATATGGTAAACGATTTAATTATTATATTTATTATTTGTACACAGGAAATCTATCACAAGATGGCGCACGGAAACGGTGACATGGAAACGTACTCGCTGAGGAATGCGTTGAAAATGGCGGGTATGTATAAAAAGGTCATCCCGCGCTCAAAACCTACAGAAGTCGCTTATAATAATGATAAGAAACATCAAATAAAACATCAATTTAAAAATCAAACGGAAAATCATTTCAAATTTTATCATCTCTTAGAAAACTCAGACTAACAAAAGGAAATGTATTGAACTTTAGCATAAGCATTTATTTGCCTGTTATTGCTTAAATCTTTCGTATTTGTTATATACAGTAATTCTGGTTCGTAAATCAATCCAGGTTGACCTATTTATATGTTTTTTAAATTGCTGAAAATCAATGCATTGATTGTATTACCTTGCATAATATGTTTCTTGTAAAATAAAAACAAATTTTCAAAATCACATGAAATATCTTCTATAGTATTCTTAGTTGATGTATTTTGACAAAATCATTTAGAATAATCGTTTTAAAATCGAAATCTAGTTAAAATACGCTTTTTAATTTTGGGTTCGCAAAACGGTTTTTCATTTTTATCAACGTTTAATCCTCACAATATTGACGTTTTTCCGGCTATCCGTAACAAATGCAAATATTGAATGAGAGGAGGTTAACGTATGATTTACTATATTTTAATGATTTTGGATGGTCGTGTTAACATCACTATATATAAGGAGAGACAGGTGTTAGCTATGGACAAGTTGTAGTTATCGAAAGATAATATGTTTACAAAGGTGTTTTCTTCCACTGCTGGTATTAATAGATTGGCAGTTTCGACATATCTATTGAACGTTATTACATAGCATATTTCCTATATTTATTGGTGTACCCCACTAGAAACTATGGCAATACATTTATATGTATATAAAATGGCCGAGATATATAAGTGCATGCATGGTTTTGATGCTGGTCATCGTTTAGACAGCCGCTGACATGTTTATGACGTAAACCGTTGAATATATCCATTTGACGCCCATTACACGGTAGTAAATATCCACCGCTGAGATTCATGGTTTAACACTAATTACCGTCATCGATCCAAATATGGTCCGCCATTAATATCCGTCTAGCATTATGAGTAATTGTCTGTCATCTATATAGCCCCTCCATAATAGCACAATTATCGATTCTCTGCAATATTGATAGCACAATTAGCCTTACAAACAAAACCTGCTCTTTGTTTACTATCGATGAGTAAACCCTGGCAGCATGGAAAGTATTTGTTTCGAATTATAGCAAGCGTTCTTTCAACCGTATGCAAACAAAATATCTATGAAGCGCACACGTGATAAGGGATCTGGCTTTTCGACCTGCTCGTGATGAGCAAGACTAGCAAATCAATACCAATAGCACAGTTGAACTTATGATTCCGTTTTCCCTTGTAGGTTTTACCGTCAGCAACAAGACCCTAGAGGCGTTGGTCATCAGGTTTGCTAACAAAGGGGCAATAACTCTGGAGTCCTACGTCAATGCCTTGGTGAAGTTAAGCGTGGCTCATCGTAAGTTTATAAAACCTACGCATACATACGTTTGTTTTCTATCCTAAATATGTAAATCAGAAAAATATAAATAGTTTATATATGTAATAAAAATATATGATATTTACAGTCTGTGTTTCTAATCTGATACATGTATGGTCCATGCTCGTCTCTTTCTCACCTGTAATATTTTAGGATTACAATGTATTCATCTCCATCCTAAATCTACTTAGTCTGTGTCTCACTCGGCTTTCTACATCCTAAATCTGCATAACCCATACATTGCACCTGGCATGGTATGTTCTAAGTTTATTTTCTATATATATACATATATACATATATGGGGCAACGAAGTAATTCCAACAGTGTGGACAAGTTTAGGTTGTCAAATTTTCGGAGCGATCCGCTCCTTTTTCAAGACACAGTGAAACAGAACAGTTACATGTACATATACATCATATTACAAGAGGATAGAACTGATATACTATAATTGAAAATATAGCTATTATATAACAGTGCTATATATACATATATATATACACCTGTTTGAGTCCATCCTATAATCTATAATCTATGTAACTACTTTTTGTTGAACCTACATTACTTCATGTATGTTAGAAGTTCATTACGAAACATAACCGGCCGCAAGTTTACACAAACACACATTCAAATTTGATAGGACTTGTTTAAGATGATTTTACTCGTCCGTAAAAGTTGATCGCTTTTGATAAATTAGACTACGGCCATATTTGTGTCATGTTGTCCCTTTTTGCTTTTTAGGGAGTGTTTGTCAGTAGATTAATGAAGCTAAACTTACCCCAACTAAGATGTTGCCGTGTAAAATTGTGTAACATATTGTCCTTAGAAACAAATGCTGAACAAACGATGTAGGAATATATTATTTGCACTGTGTTAATTTCAACATGCTAAAGATTAAATACCTAAATTGTATATATTAATAACATTGAAGTAGCGATTAATTATGAAAAGTCAACGTAAAGAATTGCTTTTTATCCTGCTTCTTGTATTTAATTAATGAAACCTTGAAATGCACAATATTGATTTCATCCGAAAACATATTGAGTATTGATACGACAGAGCCCGATATTGGTATGTCACATATAAAAATAACACGCCAACATTGTGACGTTTAAGGGCATCCGGTCATCGTCATACGTAAGATTTATGTTTTGACGTGCGCTGCAATGCTTCCAGACACAAAAATCATAAATATTATACTGTATGTTTTTGTGAGCTGTCTTTCGTTTTCTTGTTTTTGTCCATATATTTGCGTTCTTTTATCACGGAGATTACATGAGTTGTGCTATCGAGAAAGAAAAAAACAGGAAGGAAAATTTGATCGATAGTCTCCGGAGGCTAGTGTGAAGATAAGACGCTAGAAATAGCTAGGATGAATAGTAAAAACGCTAGGGAAAGTTGGTTAGTATGGATTTAAGCGAGTATAGTGCTACATCTTAGAGACCTCAGTGTTGTTGTTTGTATTCGTCTATAATATGAACTACCTATCCTCCATTTTGACGGTTATTTCATTAGTACACCTTAGTATGGTAAACACCAGGTAACCGTACATCAAGCACCCATTGTTCTAATGTCGTTGGTGTAGTCACTTTAGCATATCGATGACGCTTGATATTGATGTCTGGTTGCCCATGGTCTCCGAGGCAGCATTAATGCCATTTGAGGTTTACTGACGAGCTGATTTTATCAATCCAGTTGTCTTGCCCTTGAAACCATCATTGACATGTTTGTAATTAATGCATTTGTTGGTGGTCTTGCCAAATACTTTTGATAGTCTACCACCTTTACACTTACTTGTTCCCATTGTCCATGGTCTCCTAGGAACATAACAACTACGTCCAAAAAAGTCATTTATGTCCTGAAGGAATATATCAGTGGTAACGTTTGTGACACTGATCTGTAGGTTGAGGGGTCTGTACTAATTATTTTCTTGGGGACGTTTAATTATCATGGTTCCAGATAGTTTGAAGGAGTTTCAGATAATGTTGCAGAAAAGTAGAAAGGATTGATACGATATTTAGACCAGGTGGTCCGTATGCAGGAGCTGGACCAGTAGTTTCCTTCGTATCGATTCAATTTGTGACGCATCTGTTATTTGTTGAGTTTTTCACCTGAGCATTTATGCTATTTTGAGTTGATTATCCGTAACTTCACCATATTGTAATGGCTGTGATTTCAACAACTGCCGTGATAAAATCTGGTCTTCTGTTTCTTGACTCGTTCGTGGCCTCCATACTTCCCTGGGGAACCATCATGACTTGTATCACGAGTAGTGCAAGAAACGGCTACCGTTCCGGATTACATGGTTCATGTAAAGTTTTTAATGATCTTTTATTTTGGTGACTCCTTGGTAACCACTGTTGTCATTTGGTATGCACTTTGATCCTATATTTGTGTTTTGACGTGAAACATATTTCTTCTATTTCACTTCAATATGATATATTGGTATTTCGTTTCCTGTTCGGTCGCCTTCAGATATATCTTGTTATGAGTATTGATTATTACATGTATGTACGCGGCATCTCATTCATCCTCACGTAGATGTAATTGTTTATCGATAATACAACATGATGAGCTTACTTCATGCATTTACTTGTAATAAATCTATTATTCAACATGTGTGTTAGCACCAGGTTCTCTATTTCAGTCACTGACGCTGTTAACGGCTGGTGACGTTGGCTACATAGTTGCATTTTTGAAGAGAAAAAAAATATGTGTGTCTGACTGATTTGTATCATGAACCAATAACTCTTTATGCCAATATTTGCTGAGAAGTTATCAGCAGTGCTGCTTATTGCCTTAATGAAAATAAATAAACACAAGCATCATTATATAAGAAACGCACTTGGTAACATGCTATCACAATAGAATAAGATATCCTATCTTTTATGCATTTTTTTTTTATAAAAAGATAATGTGCATAGATCAAATACTATCAGTTACAATACTCCATCTTGGTCGTTAGTGAGTCTTGTGATAAATGAGCAAGCACATATGATGGGGTACTTGATATTTTGATTCAAAGTGTGTTGTGGAACTGTCGTCATTGTTTTCTTTTGAATTATATTATTTAGTCCATTTATTGATTGAATTCCGCAGACTATTGTCAAATTATTAACATTAAATTTTAACTTGAATACTAATCGGGTAGGTCATTTTAATGTTTCGGTTTCCCTCTGATACGTTCTGATTGGTTAAGGCGTACCACATTTCTAAACTATTTGACTATTTATATATCTAATCAATACCAATTGATGAAATGAAATTAATGTATAGTTATAATTAACCTGTCCCCATTCATGTGATAGGACCATTTTCTTTATAAGTTGGTTTGTATTTCTTTTATTTATTACACTGGGTGTCCGAATGTTGTGTAACACGTACGCGTCAGGCACTTTTTTTGAAAGTTCATACCATTTGAAAATTGGAATGTTTCATAAAACGTTGATGATGTTTCCCCTTTAAACATTCAAAAATAAATGGTAACACTATTGGTTGTATTATGTATGTCGTTCGTTTCTCTACTACAATGATCAATTACCTTTTTATGTTCCTAACGACTAGAACGCAGACAGAACCTGCCAAAAGACACCTCGCAGGACCAGAGTGGATTCCTCCAGGAGGTAGGATATCATAAGTCACTGTAATCTATCTGCACGCGTTTAACTCATCTCAATATTTTAACTGTTTACCATTCATTCTGTATAATTGTATAATGTGTTTATAAACATAGCCATATACAGTCGAACCTGGTTATCTCGAATTCTTATAACTCGAAGACCCCGTTTAACTCGAAGTATTTCATCGGTCCCGGCCAAAACTCTTCTTAATCTTAGTAATAAAAACTCTGATAAATCGAACTCTGAAAACTCGAAAAATTTGGATATCCCGAAGTGAAACATCGGTCCCAACAACGTAAATCCTACATAAAAATATATCCACCTCGAAGTTCTTAAGATTCACAAGTCTATCATATATTCTTTAATTATTTGATACATATTTGACGCAGTGCTACGGAAAACATCGTTACGCTCGGTCATAATTACTTCGATTAAACTTATGGCATTAAAATGTGTTTGACTGTAAAAATAGTTTGTACAAATAAAAACAAACTTCATCAATGTTGATTAACAACAATTAGTACTTACTGCGAGCCCGTAAACAATTTGAATGACACTTTATTTACACCAAAGCTGCCGACACATTCTAACCAGAAAATGGGTCACAGTGTGCGGTCATGCGTAAATAAGCTCCACAGTAAAAATACTGACTTGGTAAATTTTTATCTCGTTTAGAAGAAGCAGTTATATTTCCTTTACTCGCTGAAAATGAATTAGTTATCAACACGTTCGGCATTGGAATACTATTTAACACGTTTGGTTTTTCTTTTCAGCTCCTGCGAACAGCCATATATTCCTAGGCAGCATTAACCATGTCATACCATGTTGTTCATCCAGCAGTCTAGAAATAAGCCCGAAATGATTGCTTGTCCAATACCTTGCCTAACCAGTCCTGTCCAGTTCCAAACCATCTGAGGATTTTCTCCTGTTAAATACTTGACAATAGGGGATCATAGTCCAGTACCTGACATAAAGATACAACCCATGCAGTCCAATACCTTGCAACTAGCAAGACGTGAGTCCAGTCCAGTACTTAAAAGACTGAATTGGATATTTAAAATGAGGTCTCGATTGGTTTAAATTGCGAATAAAGGAACGTCATTTACAACGTTTACTGCATTGCTGTATATAATTAAATTGACATCCATGCAAAACATGGTCATCTTCTGAGACCAACGTTTTTCTGCAACACCTATTACAATACATTGATTCCCCTTACGATCCTCTGTCTGCAACGTTTTACCTTTCTCTCGGTGCGCAACGTGCAAATTATGTGGTCTGGAAACTGATGAGTCATAAAGGATACATTGCAATCAATCGGACAAATGTACAAACATACCAGTGTAGAGTGAATTGAGTATCGTATATGTATGTAACGGACCTGCATATGCAAACTGGCTCTTTATCATATGTGTGACCATGAATTAGAACAAACAGATTGGGTAGCCATGGTCTTTGTGTGTGTATATTGTAAGAACGAGTTGTGTGTTGTATTAATTTGTGTAAACTCTTATATAGAAAGGAAGTCTTACCGACGAGCATGACAGGTCTTTATTTTCAATTCATGTCATAACAGGGTAAAACACTTCTTCTAAATGAGTTTCACTTGATAATTGATTCCGCAACTCTCTAAAAATAAATGTCCTCTGAGTGTTACATATCAATAATGCCGTCATTCGGAATACGGACGTGGTCATCACTTATCTAAGTTTATATATATATATGTTTTAATGGGGAGTCTATTTATGACGTTTTGAGAGAATGTTAAATAACTGAATCAGGTACATATTACGTTTGATTTAATATTATGTAAGATATATGATTGGTTTAGTATGTCCAGAAAATAAGAATGGCTACATAAAGTATTGCAGAAAATACGAACACTATAGAGAGCCAAAGGTCAAAAGTAAACTATGCTCAAAGCAATCCCCAAGTTTTGTATCCGAGTATTTTTTAATCGTACATCCGAGAAAAAACCCATAGATATATCACGGTAAACAGTATCCGACAATTTTAATAGATTATATTCAACTATTTTGAGAGCGTTAGTGTATCCTATTAAGCGTTATCCTTTATTTCCTATATTATGATATGGGCGACCTGTCTGTACAGTTTAGCCGTGTATACGCCGCACGTGAGTTGTCATTACAGACAGAATTGTGTACAACATTACCCAGAGTATAACGATATTATTGTGGGAAAAAAGGGATTTCTTATATATATATACTTTTAAAGAAATATTACAGAATGATTACAGTGATTTTAGTGGTTATATATAGATTTTATATTTTCAGTAAATTATATATATATCAACTTATGTTTTTGTCTATTTGGTTCCTTTACTTTTGATATATCATACAAAACATATCTTTATTACATGTTGTGATTTACCCTTACTGAAATATATTTTGTACCGTTAAAAAGTTGTTTTCTATTTGTCTGTCTCTGTTAATGATTGCGATAAAATCAGAGAAAACCTGCTCCATAGTGACACAGCTATGACAGTAACGAAATGAGTTCCCATAGATGGTAACACCATTATTGAAGACAAAACGACTGAGATTGTAAATAAAATGGCATTGTCAGTCTGTATTGATTAACTTTACTAAATAACCTCTATCATCTAGCCAATACGGCTTCACAATAATGATTTACTGCCTGTGAAATATTTAACTTAAATGTAGCAAATTCTAAACATGATTTTTTGAGCTAACCTTAAACGCATTCGTGTAAACGAAACGCGCATAATTACTAGTTGTTTCATTTGCAGCCGCTTAAAAAACGTAAAATCACTCTCATCTTGTGTGTATGTACATCGTGAAAAATGAATCCAGTAAGAATATGTCTTTTAAAAGATTTTTATTGCATTTAACCCAGTCAACACATAAAACACGATTTCACTGTCATATACAGCTGTGAAAAATCGTTTACAACAGTCTGCACAGCTTATCTAGATACAATTGTTAATACTAGCTGGTAATTTATGTATACATACATTTTCGGCAAGACCTTTTAGCTCATGGTGCCAAATAAAACAATTAAGATTTAAAATATTATTTATCTGTACTATATGTATACGTTGATTTACCTGTACAACATGTAAGTGTATTTACCTGTATGTATATTTAGCTGTACTAGTTTAAGTAAAACAACATGAAATGGTCTTTAAGAAAGGTGGTGATAGGTTTTGATTCCACAAACATACAGAAAAAATCCTTCATTCGTTTATTTACAAATCCATGATTAGCACGAATGTCCCTCTCTTCTGCGTCGGTAAACCTGCGCTCTTTTAAAGGTGTTCAAATTCCCTGCTTATACTGTAATTCAGCTATTTTTCGCGGGACCCATACATTGTCAATCTAATTCTCTACAAAGTGTGACCGCTAATTCAAATTTCTAGATCATTTTCTTTCAGACACATACCTACTACTTTTCTTTTCTGTATTTCAAAATCCCACACCTTTTTTTGTGAAGAATAATCACAAAAGATTCGCGAAAATAAAATAAGTTACAACACGTGTTACATGGGAATACCGACATTCTTAGTTTTTGGTGAGTAACAGGTTTCTACGTGTTTCATACCATGCACAACTGTATTTCAACTGTACATTATTATGCTTTGTCTGTAGGCGGTAATGAAATAACACATACACACTGGATGCACAAACATGACACTGGGTAAAAATGCAATAAGTAAAGATAATGTCCACCACAATTGTATTATATAGAAAAATAAAGATTTATGAGTAACAAGGAGACCCGTGTCAGTTTAAATATACTGCCATTGCGAGAGATTTAAAAAAGGCAAAGTGTTCTAAAGGAGAAATTGGTCAAAACGGATTGATGATACGTCAAAATGCACTTTATTGCGACTCGTTGTTTAGAGTTATCGACCGATACCATACATTGCTTGCCGCTAGAGGTCGCTCATGTAAGCGACACATATAATCACTGTATATATTTAATCAAATCTGCAGTTTTGGTTTCAATTGCATAATTTCTCAATTTTACTTCCTTCTAGGCACTTATATATTACTTATCACGCTGCAATATCGGAGACATCACGTGAAAGTGGAAACAGTATAGGAGTTTTCATCACTGCACACACAAACGCTTAAACATATATGTGACACAAATATGATCTGCGTACATTTGTGAGTGAAGCAATCGAGGATGCAACTACAACACAGGGCAGGCCGAAGCAGCTTGTTTGTTCGTTTATTGGAGTGGTTTACGTCCGCTTCACTACCGAGTTATTCGGTCATACAGCAGACGATAAAAGCAGCTCAATTTAAGCCAAGTTTGTACCGGTACAATAATGTTATTTTGTTTGTGAAAAACTACCACAAATGACACCTGTCAAATGTTTATTTTCTCTCCGTATGATGTCGCTGCGAGAGCCGGCATCTTATTTCCTGCGAAAAATTTACATTTGGAGGCATTGAGTGACTATCTTGTTGTGAAGAAAAGCATCTCGGTCACTGGCACTTTGAACATGTAGTGGACAAGATCTTTGTACATTTTTTTGTTTTGTTTTTAAAAATACACCAGATAAAAGCTATATACCTACACAAAATACAGATTTTGAACATTGTACAAAAATTATGTAAAATAATGTAAACAGGTGAAATACCGAGGCCAAGGCTAGCGCATAGCATTTGTCCCACGGTAACAAGGATGTCCGTCCGATCGTCCTGCGTAGTTGGATCATCATCAGACTTCCGTATATATGTACGTCCGTATGTCTGTTAACTTCACCTCCACATATGACGAGACAAATGTTTATATATAGTACGGATGGCAAGCAGCAATAAAATAGTTATGAAAATAACGTCTAATCGGTGGGGTGAAATGAATTCTTAAACAAAAAAAAGCACTAAATATATATGATCTCATAGACTAATGATATTTGCTAGAAAAATCGACGACTAGCTACACAGTTAATGATGACGTAATCACTTAGAGCGGTCGTGAAATACAGCACGAGTGAACTATCAAAATCCGGCGAAAGGGACATATAGCGAACAAAACTTATGAACCTGCTTTCTTCACAACATATCAATCACTATGCATTAGATCACTTTGCATGACAAATTATCAAAACATATATAATCTTATATATAACATCGATACTGCTTCAAAGCATAGATTTCAGGTTTAGAAATATCTTCCGGCCGAATCGCTGTTTCCAAATGTTTCTTTTTTCTGCATTAGCAATGCACACGCTTATATCCCATACAGGGCACGTGGGATATATATTATAAATACATCCCGCATAATGTGACAACGCGTCATAAAACAGCCGCTGCCATCCAATCTCAGTAGAAATTAAGAAATCCACTACATTTATGCCATATACATTCATATAAATAAAGACATCCAGAGCAACCTGCAATGAAAAAACAAAGAAAATCATAAATTAATCTCATTGTTTTCAAAAAGAAAAGTGAATTCAATAATAGTTAAAGTAAACTTGAAAAAACACTTATAACAGATCATAATCAAACATCTTTAATTCGTAATTGATAGTTAAATGAAAATTAACTGCAAGTAAATAAAATCAAATACAAATCTTCTTAACTTATAATTAAAGTGAACTACAGTGTAACCTATTATTAAAGTGAGTTATAAATTCGTCAAAAAAGAAAAATAAGCTTGATTGACTTCAAATCTTACATCAATTTCAAGTAATAATCAACGGCAGAATAAACCTAGATAATATCAAACCAGATAATGGTCTTTTCATCCTGCGTTTATATTAAATGAGAGAAGTGAGTTTAAGTGAGCTTAAAATGACATAAAATCTTAGTAAGCTTTAGTGATATCGAATCAATATATAAAACTGTCTTCATTATCAAAGATAAGATAAGCTTCTGTTGCAAAACAAATCATTTATTATGTATTAAATTCAAACCAAGTTCAGTAACACCAAACCAACGATGCCTCTTTATAGTTATACTAAACAGAATGTTAACCGTTACAGTATATCGTATAGAAACATTTGTCTCCTTAACGTAAAGTTAATTGATAGTAAATGAAACTTCAACAACCTTATACTAATGTTTAGATATAGGCACCTCCTTCATGTTGTAAAAAGCAAAATAGGTTCACGGCTACAGATTCATATATGATCAAATGTGTTTTCCTATAAGTGACGCATTTGTCAAAGTATTTCCTTTGTCTAAAATTACTTACATACCCAAAACGTTTATACCTGTCTATACATTTCTCCTGTTGTTACCAAGAGGGCAAATGACAGCAGGCCAATTCTGTGTGTAGATTTGTTTGAAAACCCTTAAATATTGACATCTCCTCGTACACTGTACAACACTAGAACATGTTAGTAATTTTATAAAGAGTGATTTTATAAATTTCACAGTACGACGTCATGGTACATTTATTTAAAAACCTGAAAGTCAAGAACGATATTTACCTGTGGGTACGTTACGCTGACACGTCCCGGATCGCACAACACAGAACCATGGAGAATATCATTCCCAGGATCTATACAAACAGGAAGTGACGTCATCATTATAAACATACAGCTTGATCTTGACGAAGTCTCCATTTTTCATTTAGTTATGTGTCTATCATAATTTCGAGGTGAAATATCATTAATTTTAAAGGTTAAATATTCAAAATAAAAATCTTTATGACGTCAAAAATATACCTGAAAATATAAAAACACGGTTTCCGCAAAACGTTAAGTTAAACGTTATTTTTTTTTTCAAAATGACCAAATTCTCAAAACAGTTTTGAATATCTAACGTTCTTAAGCGGGGTGTCTCCAGAGTGAATGTAGAGGATTAGAAACATATCCCCTATTTTACGACATACGTAATCATTACAGTGGTAAACAATATATACATACCAGTATTACAATATACATTATATATATACTGCTTTCATAAGAGTGTGAAAGTACCTAGGGTAACCTCTCGGATAACTGGCACCCGAGGCTGTCACACACACTGTTAATCATTGATAGGGCGTTTGGATGCACCCTTCCATTGAATTCATGTTTTAGCGAGTGTGGAAGGAACAATTTGTCTCAATAAAGTGTTCTACCTTACTTACTAGTGTCTACCACACTGATATAAACATAGTTGACAACGATATGAAAAATGACCAGTTAAATATTGGTCAACCATTTACTTACCAGTATAAACGCGATGCCAATGGCCACTCCCGCCACTATGAGGAGATTCTCTGAGAAAAACTCGTGTAGTTTGTCATTACAACCCTGTAATATATAAACGTTAAACATGAGCAGTGCTTCTTCCAGTTTTGATGGTTGTATAGGGTTTAACATCCTATCAATAGTCAGTGTGATTTTCGGGAACACAATCCTAGTTAACTATCTGTAATGAGCACTTCAGGAATACCGTAACAAATGAAAATGGCTGAAGGTGTTGGTATGCAGCTAAGCAGGGGATATTACAAAATAACCACTTAATTCTTGTTAGCGGCATTGCGACGATTCCCATTTGAAGAAACAATCGATACGTTAAAAGCATGTCATTTCAGCAAGAAAAAAACACCCCATATAGATAAATCAATAACAAAACAAAAACTCTTCAAACCAATTCTGCTGACATATTATTCTTAGATGCCGAGGAATGAATGCATCAATGATTTTAGAATAAGTTTGACCATTCGCAGGAACATACTCATGTTGTCGAACTTGACGCAGATATCACTGACATTGAAATGTGAACGCTATTATTCATCGTAAATAGACTAAGGCGAAGGCCATATATGTTAAATGAATGCTTCATTCATTGCTCTGATGTAGTGGGGTTTTTCTCAATCAATTATCAAACAAGAGGCCCAGGGGCCTTAATAGCTCACCTGGTATTTTATTTTTCAATTTAAAACCTGCTGAGTACCATTCAGGTTTATCAAAGGAGTACAAGTAACAAAGTTGCATCTTCCATTTATAAATATTCAATTCCCTTTGCCCAAAGATTCTCTAAAACAAGTTTGGTTAGGTTAAAATCCCTTCAACGGTACAGAAGGAGAAGGATCTTTAATGTTTTCCTCTATTTCCCCTAATGGGCCCCACTAATCTGCCCCAAAGAAGGGGAATCCACACACCTCAGTTTAAACAAAATTGATTCTTTTCTCCCTAAGCATGCTTCAGACTGCATTTGGTTTAAATCCCTTCACTTGTATAGTAGGAGAAAAAAAATCCTCTATTTCCCCTATTGGGCCCCGCTCCTATGCCGCCAGAAGGCCCACACCCTCCGTTTATACAAACTTGAGTCTCCTTTGTCCAAAGATGCTCTAGGACAAATTTGGTCAAAATCCTTCAATTGGTTGAGGAGAAGATTTTTAAAGATTTACCTATTTTCCCCTATTTGGCCCCGTCCCTCTGCCCCCAGGGGGACCATACCCTCCGTTCATACAAAACTGAGAACCCTTTGGCCAATGATGCTCCAGACCAAATTTGGTCAAAATCCCTTCATCGGTACAAAAGGAGAAGGATATTTGATGTTTTCCTCTATTTCCCCTAATGGGCCCCACCCATCTGCCCTTAGAAGGAGGCCCACACACCTCAGTTTATACAAAATTGATTCTTTTGTCCCTAATCATGCTTCAGACTGCATTTGGTTAAAATCCCTTCACTTGTATAGCAGGAGAAAAAAAATCCTCTATTTCCCCTATTGGGCCCCGCCCCTCCGCCCCCAGAGGGGCCACACCCTCCGTTTATACAAACTTGAGTCTTCTTTGTCCAAAGATGCTCTAGGACAAATTTGGTCAAAATCCTTCAATTGGTTGAGAAGAAGTTTTTAAAGATTTACCTATTTTCCCCCTAATTGTCCCCGCCCCTCTGCCCCCAGGGGGGGGGGGGGGGGGGGGGGGGGGGGTATACCCTCCGTTTATACAAAACTGAGAACCCTTTGGCCAATGATGCTCCTGACCATCAGGATAACCTTCGGGCCAGGTGAGCTAATAATATATTAATATCCATATGTGGTAGAGTTCCTATTGTAATAAATGGGTAGAATAATCCAAACCACTACATGAATTGTGCTATAAAGATTGGTTTGACAAAACTGTTTACTTTAAAGAAAACCATCAACGAAACGGCGTTTTCGTTAAACGAAAGAGAAATTCTCAATTGTTTTTAAAGTGTTTCTCTTAATAAGAAGAAACAAATTGGGGTTAAGGGTCATACGGCAAGATATTGAAGATAAACTATTCTCAATGCAATGGATACAAACGTAAAATGTTGTGCTAAAACTATACATTGTATTAAGTTTTTTCTTACCAGGGAGGGGGTTACAAGTTACGATATAACGTGTGTTTAAGTTGACTGTTCAATACTTATAATATCAAAGATATTTGCAGCATTTGAAAATAGTTTTTCAACTGACTTTCAATAATGATAATGTTTGAGATATCTACAATATTGAAAAATATTCGTTAACCGTAAATAAGTGTATATTTTACTGCTCCTTCTCCTTTACTATGTGTTGTACATTGCTTGATGTGTATATTTTACTGCTCCTTCGCCTTTATTATGTGTTGTACATTGCATGCTGTGTATATTTTACTGCTCCTTTTCCTTTACTATCTGTTGTACATTGCATGCTGTGTATATTTTACTGCTCCTTGGGCTTTATTATGTGTTGTACATTGCATGCTGTGTAGATTTTACTGCTCCTTCTCCCTTACTTTGTGTTGTTCATTGCGTGCTGTGTATATTTTACTCCCCCTTCTTCTTTATTATGTGTTGTGCATTGCGTGATGTGTATATTTTAGTGCTCCTTCTCCTTTACTATGTGATGTACATTGCATGCTGTGTAAATTTTACTGCCCCTTCTCCTTTATTATGTGTTGTACATTGCGTGATGGGTATATTTCACTGCTCCTTCTCCTTTACTATCTGTTGTACATTGCATGCTGTGTAAATTTTACTGCTCCTTCTCCTTTAGTATGTGTTGTACATTGCGTGATGCGTATATTTTACTGCTCCTTCTCCTTTCCTCTGTGTTGTACATTGCATGCTGTGTAGATTTTACTGCTCCTTCTACTTTACTATGTGTTGTACATTGCAGGCTGTGTAAATTTTACTGCTCCTCCTCCTTTACTATGTGTTGTACATTGTATATTTTACTGCTCCTTTTCCTTTACTATCTGTTGTACATTGCATGCTGTGTAAACTTTACTGCTCCTTCTCCTTTATTCTGTGTTGTACATTGCGTGATGTGTATACTTTACTGCTCCTTCTCCTTTATTCTGTGTTGTACATTGCGTGATGTGTACATTTTACTGCTCCTTCTCCTTTAGTATGTGTTGTACATTGCGTGATGGGTATATTTCACTGCTCCTTCTCCTTTACTATCTGTTGTACATTGCGAGCTGTGTAGATTTTACTGCTCCTTCTACTTTACTATGTGTTGTACATTGCTTGATGTGTATATTTTACTGCTCCTTTTCCTTTACTATCTGTTGTACATTGCGAGCTGTGTAGATTTTACTGTTCCTTCTTCTTTACTATGTGTTGTACATTGCGAGCTGTGTAGATTTTACTGCTCCTTCTCCTTTCCTCTGTGTTGTACATTGCATGCTGTGTAGATTTTACTGCTCCTTCTCCCTTACTATGTGTTGTACATTGCATGCTATGTAAATTTTACTGCTCCTTCTCCTTTATTATGTTTTGTACATTGCGTGATGTGTATAATTTACTGCTCCTTCTCCTTTACTTTGTGTTGTTCATTGCGTGCTGTGTATATTTTACTTCTCCTTCTCCTTTATTATGTTTTGTACATTGCGTGATGTGTATACTTTACTGCTCCTTCTCCTTTATTATGTGCTGTACATTGCGTGCTGTGTATATTTTACTCCTCCTTCTTCTTTATTATGGGTTGTACATTGCGTGATGTGTATAATTTACTGCTCCTTCTCCTTTACTATTTGTTGTACATTGCATGCTGTGTAGATTTTACTGCTCCTTCTACTTTACTATGTGTTGTACATTGCGTGATGTTTGTGTTTTACTGCTCCTTCTCCTTTACTTTCTGTTGTACATTGCGTGCTGTGTAGACTTTACTGCTCCTTCTCCTTTATTCTGTGTTGTACATTGCGTGATGTGTACATTTTACTGCTCCTTCTCCTTTACCACGTGTTGTACATTGTTTGATCTGTTGACATGCATAAGATGTGCAAATATTACATTGAAAAAAAAAGAACAAAAAGTCATTTCACTACGCGCGGTACAGCGTTAACGTTCTTTACTTTGTGTTGTTCATTGCGTGCTGTGTATATTTTACTCCTCCTTCTTCTTTATTATGGGTTGTACATTGCGTGATGTGTATACTTTACTGCTCCTTCTCCTTTACTACGTGTTGTACATTGCATGCTGTGTAAACTTTACTGCTCCTTCTCCTTTACTTTCTGTTGTACATTGCGTGCTGTGTATATTTTGACTCCTCCTTCTTCTTTATTATGTGTTGGACATTGCGTGCTGTGTATATTTTACTTCTCCTTCTCCCTTACTATGTGTTGTACATTGCATTCTGTGTAAATTTTACTGCTCCTTCTCCCTTACTTTGTGTTGTTCATTGCGTGCTGTGTATATTTTACTGCTCCTTTTCCTTTACTATCTGTTGTACATTGCATGCTGTGTAGATTTTACTGCTCCTTCTACTTTACTATGTGTTGTACATTGCGTGCTGAGTAGATTTTACTCCTCCTTTTCCTTTACTATGTATTGTACATTGCATGCTGTGTAAACTTTACTGCTCCTTCTCCTTTACTTTGTGTTGTTCATTGCGAGCTGTGTATATTTTACTGCTCCTTTTCCTTTACTATCTGTTGTACATTGCGAGCTGTGTAGATTTTACTGTTCCTTCTCCTTTACTATGTGATGTACATTGCGTGATGTGTATATATTACTGCTTCTTCTCCTTTATTATGTGTTGTACATGGCGTGCTGTGTATATTTTACTGCTCCTTGGGCTTTATTATGTGTTGTACATTGCGTGCTGTGTGTATTTTACTGCTCCTTCTCCTTTACTTTGTGTTGTTCATTGCGAGCTGTGTATATTTTACTGCTCCTTTTCCTTTACTATCTGTTGTACATTGCGAGCTGTGTAGATTTTACTGCTCCTTCTACTTTACTATGTGTTGTACATTGCATTCTGTGTAAATTTTACTGCTCCTTCGCCTTTATTATGTGTTGTACATTGCATGCTGTGTATATTTTACTGCTCCTTCTCCTTTTCTATGTGTTGTACATTGCATGCTGTGTATATTTTACTGCTCCTTGGGCTTTATTATGTGTTGTACATTGCGTGATGGGTATATTTCACTGCTCCTTCTCCTTTACTATCTGTTGTACATTGCATGCTGTGTAAATTTTACTGCGCCTTCTCCTTTCCCAAGTGTTGTACATTGTTTGATCTGTTGACATGCATAAGATGTGCAAATATTACATTGAAAAAAAAAGAACAAAAAGTCATTTCACTACGCGCGGTACAGCGTTAACGTTCTAAGTCACTCTTGACCTGGATATTATCCTCCTTCTTCTTTATTATGTGTTGTATATTGCGTGATGTGTATATTTTACTGTTCCTTCTCCTTTATTATGTGCTGTACATTGCGTGCTGTGTATATTTTGACTCCTCCTTCTTCTTTATTATGTGTTGGACATTGCGTGCTGTGTATATTTTACTGCTGCTTCTCCTTTATTATGTGTTGTACATTGCGTGATGGGTATATTTCACTGCTCCTTCTCCTTTACTATCTGTTGTACATTGCATGCTGTGTATATTTTACTGCTCCTTTTCCTTTACTATCTGTTGTACATTGCATGCTGTGTAAACTTTACTGCTCCTTCTCCTTTATTATGTTTTGTACATTGCGTGATGTGTATATTTAACTGCTCCTTCTCCTTTTCTATCTGTTGTACATTGCGTGCTGTGTAAATTTTACTGCTCCTTCTCCTTTCCTATGTGTTGTGCATTGCGTGCTGTGTATATTTTACTGCTCCTTCTCCTTTACTATGTGTTGTACATTGCATGCTGTGTAAATTTTACTGCTCCTTCTCCTTTACTATGTGTTGTACATTGCGTGCTGTGTAGATTTTACTCCTCCTTTTCCTTTACTATGTGTTGTACATTGCATGCTGTGTAAATTTTACTGCTCCTTCTCCTTTACCAAGTGTTGTACATTGTTTGATCTGTTGACATGCATAAGATGTGCAAATATTACATTGAAAAAAAAAGAACAAAAAGTCATTTCACTACGCGCGGTACAGCGTTAACGTTCTAAGTCACTCTTGACCTGGATATTATTTTCTGTATTTCATCACGATATTTATAACGATAAATGAAAAAAAAAAAAAAAGTGAAAAAACAACTACTCACCGACATGGTTGCCTCGGCGACACAGGGAAAAATGTTGGAGTTGATGACACAGGAGGTAGTTAGATAATCAACAACACCAGATGTGGCGCCGCAACACTGGAACTGAAATGGATATGCCACGTTGGTGTCTATAACCTTTAACATCTTCCGTATAGATATTTTCTAAATTTAGCTGTTTTTCCAATTCGACAAGTAATTCCTATTTGTCTACTAGTGTTCTAACTATTTCAAACCGACATTCCTAAATTTCGTTTTAACATAAGCATTACATGTTTAAGCTAAATGTTATAGACAGCGGCTGGAAACTGAATTTCAAACCGGCATTCCTAACATTTATTGTTTTATCAGCCGTATATGTTTTAGATAAATATTGACGTCATTGACCGGAAACTGAATGGTTTGTCACATTCGGAATACCTCGTCTTGGACCATCTTCATGAAGTTCTTGGATTCTTGGTTGTTTTGACACGATTCATCCACCTTCTTCTGCAGGACGTCGGAGACCAGCTGTTTCAGCTGTGTGCAGTAAAACAAAGTATTGATTTAAATTTCATTTTACAAGATAAATACGTTATATTTAATGACTTGCTGTTAATAAATGCACTTGAAGCAATTTTCCTGGACTTCCAATAGCATTGGCATTTGGAAACACAACCAGTTCAAAGATAAACCATGTATAGCGAGGCAAAATCAATCAATGCTTAATAACCATAAGGACAATATTTTTCTTTCTTTATAGCATAACTACATGAAAATCCCTAATAAACAATGAGTAAGTGTCTAAAAAACTAATTATAAATCCTATCTCTTAATTATGATGTTCTATCACGCAATAGTCGATCCGGAAATGTGATCAGTATTTTTTTTCAAAGGTGCAGAGAAATGGGGGTGGGTGGGGGNTAGGAATCTTGAAGTTCCAGACATCTCCTGAATTAGCAATGGTTACAGTTACTGGGTTTTTAATACAACACCGTTACAACAGCTGATAATCGACCAAACCATTATCTTCCCTGCTGGGGAGTGATGGGACATTTAGGTATAATCGATCAGTGCAGTAGTGTGTTCTACTACTGTAAATTATTGTACATATATTTCACGTTTTTTCGTTCAGATAAGCGGTATATTTTCTTACTCCGTACAAACACAATGGGGAATGATCAAGATTTGCAATGTACAATTTAGAGACAATTTGGGAGGACAGTTTACCTCCTCTGATAGTCTACACACAATCGCCACACTGGTCCGGTCTACACACACAATCATGTTGCTCGTCCACAGAGACCAATTAACAGTTTGTCTCTATGGTAACATCCGTCAGTAACCAATAGTAAATTAATATTGATTTGCTGCATTCAAACTCGTGTCGATTGCATTTTTCCTCGTTCAGTTTATCGTCTGGTACAAGCATTCCAACGCATGATTAGCTTAATGACACTAATGTTTTTTTTCCTTTTGCGAAACCTTAAAGTCCTAACTTCAATAGCATGTATACGGATTTAATATTGCGAATTGGGGGCAAGAGACTTGGGTAATTTGAAACATTATCTTGAAAAAGTATTCATAATACATAGTAATTATATCTAATTTTTACGGTTATCATTTGCAAAGTTGTTTAAGCTTTGCATAATTGGATCCAGGACCAAGCTTCGAAAGCTTAACAATTTATTAGGGAAAAAAATGGATTTCTGATACCTACGGTATTTCATTTCGTCATTATCAAATTTCCAAACTATTCTACTGGTTTTATGGAGACAGCGTTTAAGAAAGTTACAGGATAGACGCTTTGAACTCAGGTAAATATTGACAACTGACTTTCAGATTTGGTTTTAGTTTCACAACATATATTGTGTTCCCTCTTCTACAACGCTGATTCATCAATGTTACCATTTGCCCTATTCAATCATATGAAATACACTATTTCGGTTAAACATAACGAAACTGGTCACGTGACCTTACACAAAACCACATCCCGTCGGACGAGACTTCATCTCAGTCCTCCCTTTGTGATGACGACAAGTCGCCGCGGTAAACTTACCGAGTCCTTCGCCATGACGGCCCAGATACCCGCTCCTAATAGGACGGCGAAGATGATGAAAAGGAAACCGAAGAACTGTAACAAAATAGAAAAACGTCAAAATGCTTCAAAGAGGAAAGAAAGAAGAATTGAGACCAAGCTTCCAGGTATACTTAAAGTTTCATGTTTATGATTTCTGTTTATGATTTCTGTCAATTTCACCACTCGAAGCTGAATAACCTGGACCTCAGCATGGGTTAAATATCCATTCATTAAAAACGTGTAAGAAAGCAGCTTAAACGAATTCGAACTTATCAAATCAAGAGATTTTCAGCAAATGTGACGATCATACGACGATAAAATTACTTACCAGTCCAAGCATGAGCTGGTTCTCCCGGATGGCACCACAACAACCAAGGAAGCCTATGACCATTATGATGACCCCAACCACGATCAAGATGTAGGCCCCGGTGTGAAGGAAGCCGAACTCCTCTGCGCCATCTACGTATTTGTTGAAGTTGTCTCCCACTAGGATCCATATTCCAACGGCAAGGATGGCGCATCCCAATAACTGTTAGGACAGAAGGGCAGACATAATGGTAAACTGACGCAGACAAACATGTCAGGACACAACAATACAGGATAAGGATATTACTTTGCGTTAACGTTTGTTTTGTTTATGGCACTGACATTGAAACTTTACAAATGCTTGACAGAACTGTTTCGTGCAGTTTAGCGGAGACAGGCGGCACGTAAACATGAACAATGTCATCATTAATGAGCGTCATTTCTCTCGGTATGCCAGTTCACGACGATTGTCCGTCTGATGTTTACCACAGGGAACATTTAAATCAGTAATGCTTAATGTATTCACCTGACGTTTCTGAAAGTTATACATTTACACGACGTTGTTGTGCGGACGACCATTTCTTCAAGCGGCGTTGCGCAAGAGAGTAACGTATCTTCAGAGTCAGATAAAGAACAAAACAAAAAAAAAATATCACGGGACTTTTTTTTAATTATTTGAGTAAAAAACAAATTCTGCAAATGCACAAATCATCAGCATCCTGTAATTTTACTTTAAATCCGTTACCCGAAAACAATGGCAGTGAGAAGGGCACACTGAATGAGATACAGAGATGAAATTAAAGATGATATGTCATACAGATCTGTATGCCGGTGTACCAATGACAAGGGGCCTACATCAACTTTTTACATTCCAACCAGGGGACAGATGATAGTCAAAGAGAGTTATTTAGTGAAGCTTTAATCGTGTTCTCTTTGATATTGCATTATATGTTATAATTGTGTTGACTTACGCATGAAATTATATCTAAATGTAAAGACCAGTGAAACGAATGACATGTTTTAAAATAATCATTCCGCCACGATTTTCCAAGCTAGCTTAAAGTTGTCTTTTCCTAGCTGCTACCGGTAACATGAATAATATACACCAGGAGTGCTAACAGGCATTCCCACCTGTTGGCCACCAACTGTTACGGGACCCTGATAGCTTCTCGGTGTAGTTTGAATTCTACAGTATTGGGATCACATAACACCAGGTAGATGTAAACGAAAGGTGCGTTGTACATCTACACGGTATCCTCAGTCTCTAGGTTTGGTAATTAATAATTGTACTCGATTGCATCCAGCTCGTCTTCATCAGCAGATGATACATTGGAATAATTTTGAAATGTATGATATTTCTATATTCCACAATTAAAACATAATGAAATCATGATAATAAAGAGAAGTTTAAAATTTCACATAACACATCACCAGATTTTATATTTAGCCTGAAAACCCCGGATCCTTCTAGTCACAGAAAATTTGAGACTTTGACGGTCTACTGTACTAACAAGGCACAAAATGTTACCAATGTCTTTCACGATACATTAATTCTTTGAACATTATTGTTGATGTTATAGCCTAAAAGACATGTTTTTATCCTGTACCTGAAACATCGCTCATCAGATGGCGCTACTGTACAATCTCTTACACGATCAACTTCCGGTAGACGCTATCACGATAAGCGAAACCATTGCCAGAATAGATAAATACGTGCGCTTACACTGTCCGACAGTCAGGCACGTACATCTCCCGATTGGTGGATAGCACTGATCCCATACGTAAAACTCAAACGGTGTGAGTGATGACTTTACGTGTTGCAGATTCCTGGCAGTGACAGAGCGGATCTAGAAGGGAACTCAGAGCTTCAGGAAAGCCCTTAGTCTGACAGGTTTCTTTAAAAAGCATGCAGTTTTCACACTAGGAAACCCACTGGCCTCAGGAAATTGGGAATCTCTCTCCACCCCACCCCCTCACCCAGCCTAACGAGGTGTTGCATGTTCTTGAGAGTGACATAAATAATGTATATTATCAATAACAAACCGGTCACGTTTGTGTTTACTCACAAAATCATTTTCAGTTATTTTAAAACGAATAAATTTTGCAAATTCTTTTAAATACATATGCAAGACCACACACTTGTGTTTTTTTAACGAATCAGAAAGCACGAATCAGAAAGATCTCATTTATTGCGCGGACGTATATATTCACTCGTGCGCGGTTGCTTTTTATCACATACTTTCCGTAATTGGTAGAGATCGAAACAAAGATTTTATAAACTTTGATATTTTTTGCAAATACCTGGAACTTTTCAGTTTGCCATGACAAGGGGATTCCCATAAAAAGTAGTTCCGGCTAGTAGGTAAGTACAACATTCCGTATTGCACATGTGCAATACAGAACGTTGTATTTCATGGTCTGAAAATTGCTTGTATTACTATAACAAGATTCAACAGGTATGTGATAAAAGGTTTTATTACCCAATAAATGCAAAAACGTGTTTCAACATTGCTAAAATCAATGTACGTACTCTGCAACTCGTTTTCCTTCCTAAACACAGCCTATGCTATCGATCTTGGTGATGGTTATGGTATAGCCGATGTGCTATTTATGGTCTCCATGACGCTCAGTGTCCTATTTTTATTCTTAGTGAAAACAAGTGCAGTAATTGAATTCGTGTCCCGATTTGATCAAGTCTAAGTTGCGTGGACCAGGTCGGGTTGGGTTGACCGTGCAGAGAATAAATGGATAGACACGCATTCCAGAAACGTGCTATGCAATTAGAATTAAACAAGTTCAGATTGTCTTGACACGCAATTAAAAACGAAATGAAGTTTGAGGACTGATATGATTTTAACGATAATTGACACGCGTTAAGATATTAGAAAAGCAGCACAGATAAACATTTGCATATCTATAATTTAACACTGTGTAGAACAACTTTTCATTGGAAGAAGGCATTTCAATGTGATGTTAAGCAGAATCCTCATGTTCGGTCTGCAGTCACCGGAAGTTTCCACTTCAAATATTCCAACTGTAGACGCTTAGCTAAAACTACGGGCTTTCATTTTGTGGCATGGATTTTTATCGCAACTTATAGATGTCCGACAGGTGCCGTGGAAGATTTTATCTTCCGTTCTAATTTATTCTAATCTCTGTAGGAGGCGTGTATACTTATGGAACAATCTGCATGATAATAAGGGACGTGTGTACGATATTACCCGACTGGGCCGGACATTTCGGTAACAGACCGCCAAGTAACACCAAGCAATACATATTCTCTTTCTATAATAACGCCACAACGGTTTGTGTGATAACAGGTCACATTGTCAACATTTGCTTTGCAGGATTGGTTGTTCATGTGTCCAAAAGCAGACAATATGATTTTCGGATATACCTTTTTCATTTTATTGAATATAAATTATGTTTTTAGTATGAAGAATCACGTATAGTAACTACCGGATTTACGAAGCATTTCCATGAAAATGGCAGGTCATTCAGCTTTCAAAGTATCACGCGAGAAGGAAATCGGAGAGAGTGGGTGTTCATGAAGGAAGGACTGGGCAGTTATATTTATTTTACCTCTCTATTTTTTTTAAATTAAAAATGTTCAACAAAGGATTTCGTGATATGCCTGTATAATAACCAAAACACATATAACGATTTATGAAGTTTATTTACAAACGTCAAATGAATTAAACAGGTTTTTCCTGTTTTTGATGGTGAGTTCACAAACCTACGCCCAATGTTGTCCCGGAAACAAACAAAACATACTAAAATATAAACCACCACGCCAGAATGAAATCTGGATACTAAGAAATGCGGCATATTTTTCCAATAACGGAAATATTGACATAACGTTTAATACTAGTCCAGACCCCGGTTGAGGTTTGTTTATTATGCACATCGATATCAAGTATGCCGAGAAGGTACAAGTACAATATAACCTTGATCGTTGCATAGATTATATATTCAAGGTGACCTTTCTGAAATATGCCGTACCGACTGACATGAAATATCAGTGTGAAGTTTATAAAGAGCAAACATGCTTAAATAACGAAATGTCCTAGCTGGAAGGTATCGTCTAGATTTTTGTAGGTTTCGAGATAAAAGGAGATTTCACGTTTGAGAAGTCAATATTTAAATAACAATGCTTTACAATATAAAATCATGACCTTGTATGATTAACTTCCGTATAATCTCTTTTTATTCAACGGTTATTGGAGTATCGCCTGTCATTAGGGATCGCCGTATAAGATCAAAATGAACGATAGTTCATGTTACAGGAAACTAAATATGGGACATGTATTAAAGGGTATTAACTAAATATAGGAATTTCCGGCAGGAACACTTCCCTTTAAGGCATAACATAAAATTGCATCTTGTTTATTATACAACAACTTCCGATGCTCGACTTTAATGATTTAAGGCTGGTGCTTTACTCGCAATCAATGTATTTGCGTTAACAGTCTTACTTAAAATAACACCATATTACAATAATAATTTAAATTAATTACTGTGTTATTGAGAAATGTTTCATATGATAATGAAGGTTATTGCTTTGAGACGTCAAACAGAGTAAACGCCATTTTTGAGATGGCTAGGTAACTCCTTCTGGCAATGTACAGTTAAAAATATCAAAAAAATATTGCATACAGACAACTTTAAAACTCGATACATTTCGTCTTCGGCTGTGATTGTTGACATCTTGTTTATTGTAAAATTTGGCATGGGATTATAGTTGTACCACTACGACAGGAACGGCAGCGCGGGCAGACATGGCTCTTACTTTTGATGAGAAATAACAGCAACCCCGGGTCAATTAACCGTAATTGATATCACGATGAGACGAACAAATCCATTCGGTAAGAGATTTTTCTAGGAAATGTAACGAGACAGCACTCTCTGACAGAGGTATCAGGGTATAGCTGTTATATTGTACGGTGTAGACTATTTGACTTTTATAGAGATTTATATTTGAGCATTTCTGCTCAGACTCCGGCTGGGTGATTTGTAATTGGTTCTCGCCGAATCTTTGCTATATCAGACCGGAACTGGACAGGTGTGTTTTACGATCATCTTGCAAGATACAAGTTGGTAGACTCTGTCGACGGGTTTCCAAGGTTTACTTTAACCTTGATATCCCTCATTATCTCTTTCGAGTAGTTATACGTTTATTTATTAGCGCAAAAAATGTTTCCGTTTAATATTGTAAAATCATTC